ACTGATACTAATCGCTCCTCAACCTGCACAACATTAGATGAACCGTGAGAATGAAGAATAAAATTGTGTAGCTAATGCCAATAGAAACAAGATGAAAGGAATAGTATAGTATAAAATCAAATTAAAGACTAACGTGTATCCTGTCAAGCCCTTTCCAGGTGACATTGAGGAACACTTGGCAAGAATCGATAATTAAGAAACAAATAAATAGAGAATTAGACACGACTCAAAAGACACCGAGGTGGTCAAATGCCTAAACAAAGGGCGTTCTAGAATCACTCCAGAAATGTTAAGATTGAGTAGTTTGAGAAGGCATTTTATATGACAAAATCATTCATCTATTGCATGACATTTGCAAAGTTTTAAATTATTAACAGCGATCTTGCCAATCAAATCAAATTTCTCAGCAGGAGACCGAGCAGACAATGAGCAAATGAAGATTAAGGTCTTGTTTGTTTAATGTTTTCAAAACCCCTAAACCCTAAACGAAGGCATTTTATGTGACAAAATCATTCACCTATTGCATAACATTTGCAAAGTTTTAAATTATTAAGAGCGACCTTGCCAATCAAATCAAAATTCTCAGCTGGAGACTGAGCAGACAATGAGCAAATGAAGATTAAGGTCTTGTTTGTTTAATGTTTTCAAAACAGTTTTCTGTTTTTGAAATTTGAAAAATGATACTTGTCAAACAAAATTGTATAACGATTTGAACAACATTATTTTTATTGTCTTTCTTTCTCTATTCATTTATTATATTTATTAATGATGGAGAGATGAGAGAGATAAATACAAAAAAATGATGTATGATTGTTATATGTGAATCATTACTCTTTAAAATTGTTTGTTAATAATGCACATTTGAAAGTATTTGTCTCTTTAACACATTTCTATTTTCTAAAATTTGTCCTGAGTAATTGAAGAAAACAGAAGAAAAAGATAATAGAAGGTAAAATGTATTAAGGATGAAGAAGGAAAAACTTTGGTCATAGATTACGAAACTAAGGAGAAATGGGAGAACTAATTTATTTTGTGTTTCAATGATGGACAAGGGTCGACTTGTAATATGGAAGAATTGAAAATCCAAAGAGGACAAACAAAATATGATGCAAAATGTTTTGAAGAGATTAAAAAAAAATTAAAAAAAAAAAAAAAAAAAACCT